AGTCTCGACATATATCTTTCGTGCAGTCAGTAATTTATGTGCTAAGGCAAGAAGTGTATTATCACAATTTGCGATAAGTTTAATCCTTAAACAAAGCTCAGTCGAGACAATACTCGTGGCTCGAACACTTTTTCACTCCTCATTAACATCTTGCTACGTGCTGGCTTGTGTTTTTCGCAGTTCTTTGTTGAAAGATATATAAAAACGAATAAGAAAACGCATTTGCTCCAGTTCCAATTTGTTCGCGCACGTGGCGATTGGTTCAATTAACGTAATGAATGAACAGATATCTAGTCTGACAATGAGACAAATTACGATCTCGTGACAAAGTACGAGAATTCGATTGGATATGTGAAAAAAAAAGTTTTAGACGCAACTTAATTTTTCAGAGATATAAATGCCTCGGCCCTGAGTAAAAGTTTTAAAATGTCCGAAAATAGCCGATATTACAGTTCACGATATTTAAACGTGCGTCAGTGTAGACGACCTATATACATATAATCCCGGAATTTATTCCTCGCGTATGAATTTCTCGATATTTTACATCGATGGATCTGCAGGCGCGATAACTTTACGCATAAAAAAAAATGTATCGCGCAGCTTGCATTTCCAGTAAATCACTAATTAAAGGTCCGATTTTTCCAACCTCGTGGTAAGCTAATAGTTAAATTACATGCCTACCTTTGTCTAATTTGAAGGAGAAACAAAAATACATATGTCATTTAACTATTAGTTAACTTACCGAAAAATTGGAACTGACCTAATATGCATTGCCATTAGCAAAATTTACGGTAATTTACTACAATTTGCTAATAAAAAATGTATCGTTGGCTCTTTATCAATGTTGCCATGAATGCTTCTTCCTTGAAAGATATTATGAGAGCTCGTGGAAGAGTAATTAATGACTCAGAGCATGAAAATTATATATATACGGTGTTCCACATTTCGCGTTCTCACTTGTAATGACAAGTTCTTTAATCAATTTGGAATTCTTTCTTTCTGAGAGAATATTACGGGATGTTATATTCTTTACTTCACAGTCTTTTAACTCTGGACATGTCTTTGTATAGCTAACAATAAACGTTCATATAAAAATGCGAAGTTTGTTTAAAATTAACTAACGAATAGAATCTATCTGTCTCCACTTTGTCTCGCAAAAAATTGAATTCTTTTCGGTACGCAGTTCTTTAATAATCGCCTTTGTTTTTCCGTGTTTCTATTACGTAGCCTTTATTTGACATAACTTTTTTTCCGTAAAATAAAATAACACAAAGGTTGTTTTATTCTTTCTTTCTTACTACATGTTTTCTTTCATTTTACTCGGATATTTTATGAGTCGTAAAACTGTAAACGCAAAACGGCAAGGAAAGATACAGATATAGATAAGTGCAAAGCTTATAAGTAGATAACACAAAAGTAGAAACGAAATTAGAGCGAAACTGAAAAATTGTCATAAAATTAAAAATAATTTCAGTAGATTAGAAAAAGATATTTGAGATACGGTTACCAATTTCAGCGGATACCGTTCATGTCGCTAAAAGTAAATTGTTAATAATGTAAGTATATTAGTAAGATATCGATAAATATTTATTTTTCAAAGTAGCGCAAGACCTTTCGCGACACAAGACCCTCTAAACTGCGTACCTTTTACGTATTTAGTTTATATGCAAACCCGGCCACGTAATATATGTTAAGGCACACTAACACAAACTCCAATTAAAATTCTGTTAGAGTATTCGTAATCGATATTTGCATGCGTCACAAAAAAGTCTCCCATTTTCAATGGCCAATTGCGCAAGGACTACGAGTCGATTTCGACATCCTCTGAGAGAAGAAATCGATTCCGATTTGGCAAAAAAAATCTGATGTGACAGTCAGTGGTTCCGAGGCATTTATTTGTATTCATTTACGTGCGAAAGTTGCGAGAATATTTTACGTACTTGTCGTACTTGTAACGCGCAGGGGATTTAGTCGTGAAAATCGGAGTCCTAGAAATGGCGAGTCTACGCTGTAAAGCGGGAAAGTAACAATTGTCCGACAAGTTGTCTCGCAGCCGGATGCAATTACCCGAGTAGAAATTGGTTAAGGTTTGCCTGAATTCTGC